TCAACCGGTACAAGTCGCCTCAATTGCATCATATAAGCAGCTTTAAACTCTTCAATCGAACCATTCAATGTGTCTGCTTGAATGAACCCAACACAAAATGCGAATTTGCACCTTTTGCTACCGCCATCATGTCAAACTGGACTTACAATGAACATTTGGTATAAACACAAAGAGTTCAAGTTACATTTGTGATTGTCATTTTAGCCGGTATCGGAGCTCAAGACCCATTCAGGAGCCTCTGCTATGGGGTTGAACAACCATAAACGAGCAATACATGTTTTTGATGTAATCGCTAAGGCTTGAGAGGGCCAAGTTAATCGAAGTTATTAGTCATCTGATCACTCCAAATTCTTACCGGTTCTGTTCTGATATCTAGGATCTCCAGAATAAGGGTCCCGAGGATCTTCCATAACTATGTCTGTCTCCTCTCCACTCAACTGGCCTTGCATCTGATCACTTTTGTTGATGAACCTTTGCTTATCCTCGTCATCCCCGTTACCATGGTCTTCGGGTCGCCGAGGCAACGAGGCCGAACGAATGAAATCCTTTTCTCTGTCGATTAGGCTCCAGTGTGCCGGTGAAGTAGTCCACTTGACGGTCAAATTAGCTCCACCCAACCCTAGACTGGGCATCTGGAGCCGGTGCAATTCCACTCCGGACGGCAACACGGCCAACGACAAGAGGAGGCCGACAAGGGCCGCTTGACAACCACTGGCTCGGGCCTCCAAGACGCCTGACCTCATCAGCATCATCAACAACATCACCACGCTCGAGTCGTGCGCCGGTCCGGAGCCGGTCGTGGTCAGCATCGGTTGGAAAAGATACGCCTTTGCCTCGGCGCGATGCAGGCAAAGTCTACTTGGCTCGCCATCCTCTTGAGACCAGCCTAGCCTCAGACTAGGACTGCACAATGGTCGTCATGGTGACGGTTGGACGAATCGGCTGGTAGTCAATGTGCTGCAATTGATGGTGGAGGGAACATCGTAAGGGCAGATGTCGGAAGATGTCACCCATTTGCATGCGATCCAGCTTCCCAGACATGGTGAACTGGAAGAGAACATTGTCTTTCAGTCCTACCCGTCGCTGATTGGTCCCGTGCCCTCGGCCAATCAGGCGCGGCTGTTATGAATATCAAACAGGGCGGCCAAGTTATGCCCCTCTGGTACCGGCCTTTCTCGGACAGGCATTGATGCCTGAATTGCTTTCGTTTCTTTTTTCGCGAGCAGACTCCGCCACGGCCCCCGAGGCGTCGGCGCAGGCTGGGAGGGCGCAACGTTGTGGCTCACTTGTGACTGCCGTCATGAATGCCCGGACTCGGCCAGCAACAGGTCAGTTCCGGTCTGCTGGAAAGTCGGAGATAAAGCCGTTTGAACGAATGACTCACGTGAATTGCATGGAAAGAGGACATGTTTGGCAAATTGCTGATTTGTACCTCTCGCCCAAAGCTGCCAGCGTCAATTTCACACATTTTTTGAGTAGATGTACAAAAGGGTTGTCATGTCTTTCGGTCTTCCAACTCGGATGGATGAACAGGCATAGCTAGCAACCAACTTTTATGAAGAGACCTCCACCAGACGACAAGTCGACTTCTCTGCTGATCGGACAAATGTCTGTTCGATTGGCGAAATGTGAGTTTATTGGCTGGTCGGCTGAAATTTCAGCAGTTATTGAGGCTGGCCGTGGAGGAGAACACTTCACACAACACCTGACTTGGACGAACAAACCGACAGATTTGACTGTCGACACACTAACTCGCTAACACACCAACAAGCCAAACCCACTCAGCTGTGACTGGCTGAACGAGGTAGGCATGTATAATTATAAACACACATTTCTCGAAAGCGTGATAGACATTCGGCATTTTGGATCAGTGCAGTCACTGGAGACCCCGAGTGACTTGTGTCAAGGCCTGATATATGCAAAATCACATAATGCGGTGTGAAAAAAATGATGTGGACATGGACGCCACTTGGACAGAGACAGACGACCACTTGCATGTCACGACCCTTGTACACCAACGAGGCGCATCTACACTTTTGGCACGTCGAAGAGGGAAACATGACGACTAAAATAGGACAACTTAAGGGCAAATCAAGTGGTCTCTTCTTGGCTAAAGTGGGAAAATGGAGTGACCACTTCTTCATGCAGTATTGCATACAGCTGCGGGGCCTTTTTTCTCATTGTCAGGGCGACTTTCATTTGGTATGAAAGTGAATGAAGACGAGATTCGTTGCTCGATCTCACCAGATGAGGACGGAGTAATCCCGTGTTACTTTGGCTTTGATACGATATTCTTGTTTTTCGCAGTCGACGAGACTTGCTCCCTTGTTTTCCGGTGAAAACGTGCTGAACTTGGGTCCATTACTCATTTTTGTAAAAGTTTCGCATTAACATTAAAACAAGAACACCATCCGGCTCTATCTTACTTCTTATTAGGACTAAATTGAGCCGAATGAAAATGACAAATTACAAACCTAGATTGATCGATATAGAGTGGTTTGGTTAATTTTCTTTCATAAGTAAGTAGGGTTTCGAGACTACCAGTAAATCAGTGTAATGACATGCATTCACCCTATTTCGTCTAAGGTGATGAAGGACTGGTAGTCGAATTTTTCCCACAATGATATGAGTTGAGCTGACGTTTCCATTCAATTTCACATAGCCCTGCTTTTCCAAAAGTTGTTCTCATCCTGGGTGGACTGCAGTTTCGAACTCTCATTGGTCTTATCAACACCCTCAACGGGATTCGAACCA